AGGTGATCGAACACTGATATTATTTCTTTAATAATTTTGGAATTGCATCTTAATTATCTTATATTTCCCCCCGATGGTCTAAAACGTCGTTTTGCTCCGGAACTAATTTATTGATCGATAACATWGTCGATAAAKCCGAGGAGCTCGGCTCACGGTTCGCGTCTGATATCATAATAATTGGTGTAATAACAACTGAAAATAATAAATTTCAAAATATTGTGAACATGGCAACATCACACAAAATATTCTATGCTCAATCGTGTTGCTAAAAAGGTCTATGCTCGATCGTTTTATGCTCAATCGTGCTTTACCGGCGAATGGGGTGAGCCAGGTAGGCAATTACCCAACCTGCGAGCCGTACTGTATCTGTTGTATAATTGTGACCTGATAATTTTTTATCATCAAACTTAAATAGGTAATACAATTACAAATTACAATTTTCAATAACAATAATTAATTAAATACATCGAAAATTGAAAAATTGAATTGATTAAATATTTTAAAGTGTCTCTTGAAGTATCTAAATCATAATTTAATTGGCCCGCCCTGGCAAAAAGGTCTGCGCACGACTACGCTTACTAAACAAGAATGCCGTAAAATATTGTATTCTTACAAATACCTAAGTAAGTATTAATCATTATTAAATCTCATCAGTGGCGTGGCGAACTTCATTAAATTATGAGGCACAGTTATATTGTCAGACCAACCACTCACTCCACCCATCACAAAAAACATAAAAAAAATTTTTTAAGATAAAATATATTTATTCATTTAAATAATAATGTTTTTTAAACACATCAGATGATCTTTGAGGACACCCACCACCCCTCAAACTGAGGCACGTGCCTCAAACATAGTCCTTCGTCACGCCACTGAATCTCATCGTCAATATTTTTACTTCAACCAAGCAGTTGTTTACATACGTTTTAGGTAAACAAATGTCATGTAATAATAATTATTATTTGGCTGTTATTATAATTAGAGAATAAAAATGTTTCATTTTGATCTTAAAATTATAAATTTTTTTCAATTTACCGCACAATCTAATTATTGAAGCTGTAAGTCTTATTCCTTGACCAATAAACATAACTAACGTTTAAATAAATAGCCACATGTATAAATTCCAAGTTGGCATTTTGTTTCAGAAAAATAGCGTTAGTTGTAATATTCACTAGAGCGGGATTGGACCTGGACCCAGTAGCGTTGAAAAAACTGTACTGTAGAATGTTATTCCTTGCTCTCATCCCGTGGTGTACCGAAGCAGTCGTRATCGCGGTGACTATTAACTATTTTTTGAATATACCGTGGTCGTTTGCTATATTTTGCGGGTGAGTATCGTATGAARCTAAGTTAAGTTATTATTCGACTAAATATTTCTGTTCCATGCATACCTAACGATTTTGATGTTCTAACACAGTTTTTGTATAGGTATACGCTAATCGTATAATACCTATATTATAACATTTTGGCATCTGTCCACTGTCGTAGATCGATTATCGCTGCTGTGGCTCCGGCCGTAGTAGTCCCTTGCCTATTTCGGCTGAGAACGAAGGGGTACGGTGTGGCCAAAGGGATCCCGACGTTGATCATAGCTGTCGCTGGGATGGATGACGCTGCATCAGTCATAGCTTTTGGAATTGGCAACAGCATGCTTTTTGGTGCAAGTACGACAAGTACGTACATCTATAAAACGTTTGCTGCAATAAACATAGTAATAAACTGAATTATTTTTAATATTCTTCTTTAATGTAAATAGTTACTAAATTGAAAGCATAATATATATTTTAAATTAAATATTATTTTGCTATATGAAACAGTTACCTGCTATGATCATTTATGGGTTTCTGGTCATTCATAGCTGTGTAATTTATGTAAAATGCACATATTATTTTTTAGTAAAAACGTAAAATATTACCATTTGAATATTTGATTAAATTTAGTCATTGTCAATGGTATGTCGTATACGTATGTACTATGTATACACATGTGTAATGTATGCMTGTAGTATATAAATCTATTTCCTTTATAGTTTTACATGCTATGCTATTTAAAGTAAACTCATAATTTATGTTTTGCTATTTAAAATGTTATTTATATATGAACTGTTAACACGTTTTTGCTCCATATTTTAATATGCTAATACCTAAAAAATATTTATGTATTCCAGATTCAATTACTACTGATTTATTGTTAAGACAAAGCTTAATGCCAATAGGAGTTGGGATATTGTATGGTTTAGTTTTGGGTTTTATTGTTAAGTACGTCCCAGAAAGAACTGAYGTAAGTATTACAAAATACATTGTTAAAAATATATCAAATAATTGTTTCATTAATTGTTCATGGTTCTAGAGTTCTAGAAACTACCGAAGGAGTGTAATTAGTTGTAAATAATTTTATTCTTGTAATACTTCCTTTCTGTCTCCGTTACGTATTTAAATGTTATTACTTATATTAATATACGAGTATATACAAATATATATATATATAAGATAAAGACATGTATATACGTTAAAGACTTGGGCAAGGATGAAACTTAATAGGTAATAATATAGTTGTTAAAAATAAAGTAATATATGGTATATTATATATTACTTTAATAAATTAGGTACTCTCCTTTTTGTCTTGAATCAATAAATTATATTATTTCAATATAATATTGATACTGTTGGTATAATATTTTGATGACTGTACAATTTATTATATTATTATTAATAATAAATGAGTTCAAAGTTAAGTGTTTCTTCGGCTATTTAACTTATCAGCTGTAATTGTTCTGTTTAAATAGCCTTACGTGGTACCACTGAGAATTTTAATGTTGTCTGGGGGTGGATTATTAGCTGTATTGGGTTTTGAACATATAGAATTAGAAGGCGCTGGTCCATTAGCAGTGATCATTGCATCGTTCACGTCARTTTATTTTTGGACTAAACAAGGATGGAATATCGAAAAAGTATGTTTATGATTAAGAATAAATAATAGTTTTGAAATAACATACATTTAAAAATTAATGTTTATTTAAAACAGTAAATTATAATAAAAGATAGGTAATGTGGCAATAATAATTGTTTTGTATAATAAATATTATAGTGATGAAGATTTTGTGGTAAAATTATTTATAGTAACAGACCACTAGGTATGTTATTGTATCAATAATATATATAGGAAATTGGGAATTACTTTTTAGAATATTGTACAAAAAAACAGAAAAGCATTATTAATTAATAATTATAAATTACTTAATTACTATCGATACAAAGTAGTTAAAAGTACAAACTGTAAAAGTTACGCATTTTGATTATACTACGTAGGTACCTGTACTACTCTCAGATTAATATACAATAATATAGATTCTGAGCAAAGCGATTAATGTATTATAGTTTTACAGGATCTTTAAAGTTGTCGTTACAGTTATTAAAAAATTTCAAAAATATATGGCTGATAATATTTTTTCACAAGCGTTTGAAGTTTAAATTTTGATTATATTTTGCCAAGACTTTAAAAATATACGACTTGTTTTTCAATCAATAATTTTAATTTTAATTATCTAAGGTCTAAACGAATTAATAGAAAGTTATTTCAACAGAGATATCAAAATATCAAAAATAAATTGACATAATATTCATAGATTTTTTAAYATTTTTTTTAAAAACATTTTAGTTCTTTCGTTGTTATCAAAAAATATTTAAAAAATCAAGAGACTTATCGTATAACTAGGTATTAATAAAATATTATTTTTAAATTGCACGATTTTATAATTTTTTCCAAAAAAAATAATRTATTATGTTAAGCAACTTGAAAACTACTAAAAAAATATTAAAAAGTAATTTCACCAATTTGAATGTGTTTCTGAATATTTATATTAAACGTTTCACTAACACTCAGTTATGATATTAATATCAAATAAATATTGTAAAAATATTGAATCAAGTAAATTAACAACACATTAACGGATTTATCTTCAATAGTATTAAAAAGTTAACAAACATAAGATGTTGGATAAGTTTAATACGTATACCTACTGCTACTCTGTATCTGCATAATTAATGAATGATAGTGCATGCATGCAAATTAAAATATAATGTAAGTAAATTATAAATTTTAAATGATTAATAATATATTATAAATTCTACATTAATTCAATTAAAGATCTTAATTCCTTCTATAACGTCAAAAAATACACAACACATTTCTTTTTAAATCGTTTTATGAGCATATATTATAAATATTGTTTTATTTATAAAATATAATCAAAGATGACAGCATATAGTTTTTTTCCTATGACATAAAAAAATTAAAATTAATTTCCAATTATTTGGCATGACCGGATTTAGAGTACATAATTTAACGTGATACCTAATATTTTAAATTGATTTTATACTAGAACCCAGTGGCAACGGCTTTTGAAATATTTTGGATGATTTGCGAACCAATACTGTTTGGATTGACAGGCACACAGATTGTATTCAAAGAACTTGACCTGGACATCGTAACGAAAATTGTTGTGTGTGTCGCCATCGCTTCTGTGGTATGTAAAAATAAATGTTGTTGTCAACCATTATGTATAAACTACATGACGTGTGTATTTATATTGGTTATTGCAACCAATATTAATACCTACTTAATGTTCAAAAATTACAATTGAATGTGAGGTATGATACATGAGTTTTTACCTTGCCATTCAACGTGATAAATAACAATAACAATAATACTATTATTATTAGGTACTTTTATTCTATATTATGCAAAWTATAAAAAATAGAGGCAAACAAATTATAATTCATGATATTTCATTATTCGTTTTAGTCACGGATTTTCATAACAATCATAACAGCGTCTGGGAGTTCTCTGAATTTTAAAGAAAAACTGTTTATCGCATTATCGTGGATGGCCAAAGCATCTGTCCAAGTAAGYGATGGTCTATTTTATTTTATAGTGTTTATCTAATAATAACCCACTGAATTAAGAGATTTTCAATTAAAAACAAACTAAATAATTGCCGAAAGCGTAAAGGTCTTTTAACTTAAATTATTAAAACAAATTTTGAGTGAAAAAAATGGATAACATCTCAAACCATAATCTTGCATCAAAATACAATCAACTCTATTTTTATCYATTGGTTATGTTGTCATCCTCGAGTTAAAGATCACATAGATCGCATCTACAATAATTCACCATAATCGTGGTATCGTTTTCAGGCTGCCCTAGGTTCAGCCGTTGCTAATTCAAAGCCAAATAGTAATAATGATAATACAAATAATACTGTCACTAAGTACTCCAAGGACATCGCAACAGTGTGCATCATCTCCATTCTATTGACCGCTCCGATGGGTGCGATCATCGTTTCTCTGTCGGGTACCAAGCTTCTGACCAAGGCCAAGCCCAGCAACGAACAGTGGCGCCATGGTCCTAGACCCTCAATTCACGATATCACGCTGAACAGCGAGGATGAGGATTACGGTACCAGCGTGAGCAACGATCAAGTGCAGGATAGCGACGTGGCGAATGTGGATTATATGATCGTGGACCAGAAAACGAACACGAATTTGAATTTTGACCTAAGTTTATTATAAGTACATGATTTTTTTTTGGAAATTTTGATATACCTAATTTAAAATTTGTACGAGTAGTTTCTCAGTTATTAGAATGTACATATATATAGTTGTATAATAAGTATAAATGTATAATACCTAGTCCTTAAAATGGGTTTTCAAAAATATAAATTAGACGTAATATTAAATGTAGTGTTTTTTATGMAGTAACCATTAAAAAAAGTTATAAATGATGTAAGATTAACATTATTTACTAAAATGTTAAAATTATCATAGCCTCTCGCAGCCCACATCTTATGTTACCAATTTGTAAATTATTCTTAGTAACATACAAAACCAAAACAAACCCAAGTRATATTGTGATATTTATACAAACAAACTTTGCGAAGCTTAAACCCCACAAATGTTRGACGGAATGCCAATGACATGAACAGTATATCGAATCAACATGATGTAAATTTTAACGCTTTATTTAGACCAAACCTTGACAACAAGAAATTCTTGACTTTTTAATATTAAACAAAATTTAGTCAACATAATATTATATTAGAATATTAGAATTTAATCGATTGTTAACACTGTGACTAATTGTAACCTATTATATATAAGTAGGTTAAACTTAAAATAATTGTAACTGGTGCCATTTACTGTTGAATTRTTCAAAAGATCAATAAAATAATATAAACTAATAAACAATAAATTATATATTTAGACTAATTGGATATACCTATGGAATAAAATAATGTAATTTTTCAAAGTTATTGTTACAAGAATACGTTTTGTGCTTATATACTAATAAAAATAAATGCATTTGTTTTTCTCAACACAAATTTTTATTTATTTTATTAAAAATAAATGACAATAAAACGTAAAAG